CTATTCCACAAGCCTTCAGAACCCTGACAACTCTCTGGGAAAGGCGAGGCATCTGGACCCTTTTAAACAACCCTACACTTGATGACTTCTTCGGTGAAGTGGCCAATGACCTCCTTGAAAGACGTTTCTCGCGCACGGCTTTTAAAGGCTTCATGGGCAGGGACATTAACAACCTCACACCTGTAGAACATAGAAAACAACCCACAACCCACAAGCTTTTTTTTAACTAGTGGTAACAGGTACATTAGCCCATGACATCAATTTGGACGAACACAGAGCTGGTCAGTGACAGATATGCGAGTGGTCCTATTCACAAATCTTACCGTGCTCGGGAGCCTTTTGAGGGAACTCGCCCTCTTGTCGCGCCACTGCGCCAACGTCCACGGACGATTCGAGGTTCTGGACCTCGGCCACGGCTGTGTCGCTAACCAGCTCGGTGGCAGCTGAGTCGCTTGGCAAGTCGATGGCTTCATGAAGCAACATTTTTCGACCGGTACTGAGGACAAATGCTCGATCACCCTGTTCAGCACCGCAACGGGTCGATGGAGAATCATGATCTTTCCGCTGTGGATCCATCTTGATGCTGACGGCCACCTCACTGCCTTCCACAGAGGATTCGACGTTCTGCATCTCGGCCACGCCTGAGTCGCTAACCAGCTCGGTGGCTGCCGAGTCGTAACCCAACTCTATGGCTTCATGAAGCACCATTCCCCGAGCGATACTCACGACATACGCTCAACCACCCTGTTCTTCACCGCAATGGATGGGCAAAGAATCACCATCTTTCCGCTGTGGATCCGTCCGGATGTTCTGCATCTCGGCCACGCTTGAGTCGCTAACCAGCTCGGTGGCTGCCGAGTGGTCACCCAACTCTATGGCTTCATGAAGCACCATTCCCCAAGTGGTGCTCACGACAGACGCTCGACCACTCTGTTCTTCACCGCAATGGGTGGGCGAAGAATCACCATTTTTCCACTGTGGATCCGTCCGGATATCGACATTCACCTCACGGCCTTCCACCACGGGTTCTCCGCCTTTCTCATTGTCATGAACCCGAGCTTCCACCGCGGGTTCTTCTTCGTCTTCATCATCGCCAAGAACGGGAGCTTGCACGGACGTCCACTGACCTCCCTTAACGACACCCTCTCCCGTCGTGGCCACAACCGAGCGACTGTGCAGAACGTCTTCGGACGTCCTGATCACCAGCGCTCGTGCGTGGAGCCACTTCACGTCTTCACGAGCCGGCCTGTGTCGAGTGTCCTCTCCCCGCTATACAGCATGTGTTTCCCCCGGAGCTCCTGCACTCTCGCTGTGAGTGTCTACGGACGCACCCTCCGAAGCATGACGTTCACACTCGCTACCCCCGGTCTCCAACACTTTGCGAGACTGCCAGCATTGAGTCTCCTCTTCCCGATGTACAGCACGCGTTCCCGGAGAGCGCTCGTCTTCCCCAGGAGTGTGACGTACATTCTCGCTACCCCCGGTCTCCAACACTCCTAGAGCGGGCTCCTCCAGCACGTCGCGAGACCGCCAGTCTCGAGTCTCAAGACATGAGAAGGGAGGCGAGCAGGTTAACCCTGTGTCCAACTGAAGATGCGGGGGCCAGGACGTCACATTTTCTTGGCCCCGCGGAACTGTTGCGTGAGGAGCACTCATGGCGGATGGCGACGACAGCAAATCCGAATGTATTCGGAGGTTTTTGCGGTCACCCGAGGCGAGGGAACCGGAGGTCGCACCTTCGCTCCTTCGCAATGCAGGCATCCCGCCCTCCACGCAAAACGAAGACGCGCCCTCTTTTAGGAGCAAGGTGTTGAGCACAGGAGACCTCTGCTGCGCACGGCGGGATGGACTCTCCTGGGCAACGGGAAACAAACTCCTCGCAGACAAGTGTGCGAATCTACTCGCACTTGATCAGACGTCAGGGTGACCTCATCTCGCATGTCGGAATCTCGACTGCCTACGCAGTGGGGGTCAATTTTCATATACTGGGGACTCTAGGACGTTCTACGCTTTCCGCCCGACCCCTTCCCGCCCGACCCCTTTCCGCCCGACCCCTTTCCGCCGGACGCCTTCTCTACCGACGATGTCTCGCCCGTCCCTTTTCCGGCAAACTGTGCGCCGTCTCCTCCGCCATCTCCGCCGTCTCCTTCGTCTCCTCCACCATCCCCTCCTGGATGCTGACCGGCCGGCAGAGGTTGCGGCATGCGCCAGTCAATGCCACGAGACGGTGCCGTTTCGAGTGCGTAGAAAGGCGCTCAAAACCCCAACATGTTGTCGGCGTACAACTTATGTAGCTTTTGTTGTGCATACGCATCGATGCCCGGATCGTTCCTCTCGGGGTTTATGAGACTCAAATGCTCCACCAGAGCAGTTCTTGCCTTTCTCTTAAATGCACCCGCTCCCTGTCTCTTCAGTCCACTCCACTTGCCATCGGGCTCCTTTACTGTCATGACCCATATTCCATTCCTCACAGCAGGTTGGAATATCCTCGGGTGCCAGACGACGTTGTGTCCCCAGACATCCTCCACCGCGAACCGGTGATGCTTGCCGAAAAAGTAGAGCCTGTCATTCTGCCAGGTGTCATGGTCCAGAGGGAGCCTGTCACAAGGTTCGTGATCATAGTCTCTCTCTTCCTCCCCGTCATCAGACAATTGGTCGTCGACTGGTTCGCCCCGAAACACACGCTTCAAACCAGCAGGGGACGTGCTATATCTCCGAGGGCCACCTTCCTCTTCACCACCAACCTATCCAACCACCCGAGGAAGTGGCATGGACTCGAAATCGAAGGTTTCGGAGTCGCTCAGCTCCTCCATGTCTTCAACGTCGAAAGGGTCCTCCTCGTCAAACTGTGACTTGTAGTTTTTCCGAGTGAGCGGTTCGGCGAGCGTGAAGTAAACGTGCTCCAGCCTTCTCAAGAAGTGCGAGACAGACTCCCTGGGTGCACCGTGGTACCCATTGAGCACAACGAACACCAGGTTTCTCCGTCGACTGTATTCGAGGTCGGTCGGACGAGGCGGTCCGGGTCCGAAAAGGAAGCCCCAAACGTCCGTCCTTTTGTTCCCCGGCAATTTCTAATACATGTTACGTTTGGGATCCCAGTTTCGTTCGCCGGTGGTGCGGGCAAACTCGCAAGCATTGCGAGTGTCTGCAACGCGTGTCTTCACGAACTCGTGAAGGTAGTCGATCATCCTCGCCTCCTTCTCCAACGCGACGACGTTCCGACCGGTGTGGAGGAATCCCCACACGACAGACGCATGCGCCTTCCCAAAGAAAAAAACAGTTTGCCCAGCTTTGCAAAAGTTTTCAAGTAGACCAAGTAGACGGGACGGGTTCCGCTCCATCTCCCCGTAAGCAGGTCCTTGAGAACTTGTCACGCCGTCGTCCTCCCACATGCTACGAGAGAACCTTTCCTCTTCGGCCACGTCGAAACACGCCACAGCCTGTCCTGATGGGTCCGACGAACACACAGGTTTCGAGCGGGCCGCCACCGTGTGTTTGGTCAGACTTGGACCTTTTGTCGGGCTACTGGCCGGGTAGACTGCGTATGTGTTGTCTACCAGCTTCTCACCATTAAATATCACGTACAGGCGGTCACACTCCTCAACCAGCATATTGCCTTCCCGGACAGTGGCCTGCTTTTGTGCATTACGTACCCACTTCCCTGTCCTAACGTGATGGACGCTAAGCATGGCCATGCCTTTCAAGAAACTGAGCTCCCAACGAGAGGGGAAAAAGATCACAAGTGCCCAGTGCGTCGGTGAAAGTGTTTGTAGAAGGCCTTACAAGTTGGAGAAATCGTCTTCTCGCCAGTCTGTGAGGAGTGTGGGATCACACAAATAGAGGATGTATAGGTTGCACATGTAATGTCGCACAACCTCACATATCGCAGTGACATGACTGTGAGCTTGGAAAGGCGGAAAAGCGAAAGGAATAAGGCTGGTCACCCGGTTGAGGTCGGGCCATTTGATGTGCCTCACATCCCCGCTGACCCTGATCGTGTCTCGAACTTCTTCGTCCGTCCGTCGCAAGATGAAACGGACAGATTTTTCGAAAGATTTAGGGAACCTGTCATCATCGTACAATCTCTTCGCGTCGTCAATGGACTCCTTCTCGTGCGGAAGAGTACGTTTGCAAGGGTTCACGTACTCCACCGCGCCCTGGAAATGCTTTCGCATTTCGACCCACACATGTTTCGTGAGGCCCTGCGGCCCGAACTCCTCCAGAAGCTTCCCCTCGGTCTGAGAAAATGGGCTCCCGTGGCGCCAAACACGTTCGTTCTCCTCCGTTTCAAGGAATAAGATGTAGTGGAACATACAGAGCATCACACGGTCCACTTTCGTCGTCGCGACCATTGCTTTAATTCCAGGTTTATGCTGACGCTTTAGATGGCCACCCGCGGATTGCACGAACACTCCCCTTAGTGCGAGAATGTCGTCGAGGATCGACAGTTTCTCGACATCGGTCATGTTGGCGAGAGACTGCCAACAGAACATGTTTGGCTACTTCACGACCATGAAAAACTTGTCGTCCGCTTGCGTTTTCTTTTGGGTCGGAGGCGGCGGGACCCGGACCAGCCACCCCATTTTCGTTTCACCAGCCGCCCCTTTCGTGCCAATTTCAGGAATTGCTTGCAAACCCGGAGATTTGTCAGGCATGTATTTACCCGGCCTCGACAATGGCGTTTTACCAACGCCGCCCAACAACTTCCCCTCTGCCCATTTCGCGTAGAACTCCATGACTTTCCGAAAAACGTCATCACCGGCCGTCACGACCGGCGTCCACTGCCTCAATGCATTGCCAATGACAGCGACATAGTCCTTGTAGGCGTTCGACAAATCTTTTTTGCCAACGTCCAGTGAGCTTCGTTCGGACTCTTTCCCAAAAGCAGATTCCGGAATTCGAAAAACTTTCGTTTTTCGGCCTCCTTCCCGGTCGGGTTCCCTTGAATAACCATCGGCCTTCCTTCTTTCTCCCATGCCTCCCTCATGTCCAAGAACGCGGCCTTCTGCGATCGCTGCTTAGACATCTTGTGTCCTGTGTTCTCGTTGAGACTGACCTGCCTACCCCGCGAAATCTCAGTCGGAGAACCACACTACTCTCGCCGGCCAGGAGTGCATCTTCCACAAATCGAATATTGGCTCACACTCCAACTCCTTCACAGCAGCCACGGTGTGTTGTCCGTTAACAGGGTAATAGTAGAAGTCATCTTTCAGAACCCTGTTAGCTATCTCCGGCCCACGCGTTACCGGCTTGTAGATGGGTGCCAGAACCAAAGGGTTTTTCGTCCAGATCTTCCCCCTTTTCTCGCGGTATTAACTCAGCATCGCAGCCTTGATGTCGTCCACAGTTTCCCAATTTAGACTGCGGTGGTTATAATATCTTTCCCAAGACGGGATGTCAGAGACCTTCCTGGGGTCGATGAGTAGTTGGACGGGGAGCTCCTTCTCCACGATCTCACCGCCATCGTTCCGCTCGTATTCGAGCCAGAACGCTGCCGCTTCGTCACACTCCTCACCGACAGGCCGTTCGCCCCCACTTGCCGCCTCAGCAGTCTTCCGCCTTCAAGGTTTCTTTTGGCCATCGCCTTCTTCAGCTGCCACTTTCCATTTCGATTTTCCCTAAGGTTCTCTCGCCGCCGCAGCACCTGGATCAGCCGAATCTCCTCCACCCACGACTTGTCTTTCGCGGATGGTCAAACCGTCGGGCCTCCTCGCTTTCTTACTTGCCATCCCACCGTCTTCCTTCGTCGGCCTCTTTCCCGAGGCACGTTCTCCGTCGTCACCTCTATCCCCGCCCATCACCGCCTCCGATTTTCCTCTCATCCTCTTCATGCGGAGGGTTTCTTCCGCCACCTCCTCTCGCACAATCCTCTGTCGCTCGCTCTTCTTCTCCGAAGGACTCCGAAGGAGTCTGCACCCCGCCAGAGCTTTCGCGGACAGCGCCCATCCCTTCAGCCTCATTCCCTCCGACATCTAGCCCCGATCTGCTTGAATCTCTTGTCGTCTCATCTCGAAGCGAATACATGTCGCCGCCGCAGCGGACCTTGATAATTTTCGGAGTACCGACCCGTTGAGTCCCTGTACATTGAGAATGCAAGTCTGACGTGTTCCCAAGAGCATCCGGGACGACCTGCGTGTGAACGCTGCGTCCCTTGACCCGACCCCCAGCGTCTTGAATCGGACTCCTGCGCCCCACTGCCGTACCTGGAGTTTCTTGAGCCAAGCCGGACGACCCCTCACGGGGTGGCAGAAGCCGGAAAACATGCTCTGGCGGAAGAACCGGACGTTCTTTCGGCACCATCAACGCGAGATTGAGATATTGCTCTGGCGATGGAAGACGCTTGCTGCCACCATCGTAAAGGTCTTTGAAGTGAGAGCACAATGGCATGTTCGAGCCGTACCCCGCGAAACGCTTGATGGTCACTATCACACCTTTAACACCTCTGATAGGCAGTCTGCACTCGTCGTACAAGCCGTTAGTGTGCAGCCTGAGCAAACCTCCAGGAGTCTTCGCGCACGACACGACGGTACCGAGAGGAACAACGTTGACCGCTCCCCCAGCGTCTGTAACGCAAGTGGGTTGCATGAAAACAGCTGGCCCAAAAAGGTCCCCCTGAACAACGAAGTCCAAAAACCATTGTGCTCCCTTTGTGTGCGTATACGAAGGAGTAGGTTGCTGTATAGGTCGTCCCTCCCCGGGGGCAGATGGTCCAGCGCTTGTGGATGTGTTCTCTGCAGACGCCAATGTATTCCCACCCGTTGACTAGCACGCCCAACCTCAGACCAACTCGGATGACCAATACGCCCAACCCCAGACCACTACAGAAGCGAAGTGCGAACTAACTCGGACTTAACGAAATGAAGGACGAAAAGGACCTAAAAGATCGGTGTTCGAAATGCACACGAAGTCACAACAATCGGGTGAAGGATAGGAAAGACAGAAGTTCGGAGGGAAGACGATAACTGTTCGGAAAGATTGCGACCCAACTAGATGCCCTCGAGACGAGTAAGATGTGGTTTATCGACAAGTGTGAAGAGTGTCGACAAGTGCGAACTAACTCGCAGTTCTGTAGACAAGACAACAATGGCAACCCGCTGCACTATCGGAAAGTGCGAACTAACTCGGAATTGTGGAACTGAAGACTTTAAAGACGCACGAAACGAGTAAGATGTGGTTTATCATCAAGTGCGAATCGACAAGTGAAAACTAACTCGCAGTTCTGCTGACAGGACGCCAATTGCAACCCGAAGTACAACGAAAAAGTACGAACTGACTCCGAATTGTGGAACTGAAGTCCTGGTTTATCAACAAGTGCGAACTAACTCGCAGTTCTATAGACAAGACAATAATGGCGATGCACAGCACTAGGGGAAAGTACGAACTAACTCGGAATTGTGGAACTGATGACCTGAAAGCCGCACGGGTTGGGTTGTCAACTCTCCAGCAGTGTTGCTCAAAAAGTGCGAACTAGCTCGCATTTGTGGAAATAAAGAACTGTCTTTAATGAAATATATGTCTAACCTTGGGAAAACTGCGAATAACCTCGCAATTGTCACTCCTCGAACACTGTTCGTTGCAAATTGCAAACTGACTCGCAATATATCTCTTTATATATATGTATCTATACATATATATATATATATATATATCAGGTCGGCGACCTCACAAGGGACAGGTGAGCGAAAATCGGGAATTGATTCGGTGTTCAGTGTAGCAATATATCTCTATATATACATATATGTATCTATA